TGGGAGACGGGAATCACCTTCCCGGGAAGCGGTGGATTCCCCAGCACCGAACAGTTAAGGCTCAGCTGGAGAGGGTGCGGGGCCATCTCATCTAAACCGTGTTCCTACCTAACAAGGTTGGAGCCGGTGATCCCTGAGGTGCCTCCCACCCTGCCATCCTGTGTTTCCATACAGCAGCAGAACCTACATGAGGTGGATCAGGAACTGGTTGAAAGGAAGGAGCCAGAGAGTTGTAGTCAATGGGGCAGAATCTGGTTGGAGGTGTGTGACTAGTGGAGTCCCTCAGGGGTCGGTACTGGGACCGGTGTTGTTCAACATCTTCATCAACGACCTGGATGAGGGTATAGAATGTACCCTCAGCAAGTTTGCTGATGACACTAAGCTGGGAGGAGTGGCTGACACACCAGAAGGCTGTGCTGCCATTCAGAGAGACTTAGATAGGTTGGAGAGTTGGGCGGGGAGAAACATGATGAAATTCAACAAGGGGAAGTGCAGAGTTTTACATTTGGGGAAGAACAACACCATGTCCCAGTACAGGTTGGGGGCTGAACTGCTGGAGAGTAGTGTAGGTGAAAGAGACCTGGGGGTCCTGGTAGACAGGAGGATGACCATGAGCCAGCAATGTGCCCTTGTGGCCAAGAAGGCCAATGGCATCCTGGGGTGTATTAGAAAGGGTGTGGTTAGTAGGTCAAGAGAGGTTCTCCTCCCCCTCTATTCTGCATTGGTGAGGCCACATCTGGAGTATTGTGTCCAGTTCTGGGCCCCTCAGTTCAAGAGGGACAGAGAACTGCTTGAAAGAGTCCAGCGCAGAGCTACAAAGATGATGAAGGGAGTGGAACATCTCCCTTATGAGGAAAGGCTGAGGGAGCTGGGTCTCTTTAGCTTGGAGAAAAGGAGACTGAGGGGTGACCTCATCAATGTTTACAAATATGTAAGGGGTGAGTGTCAGGGGGACGGAGTTAGGCTTTTCTCAGTGATGACCAGTGATAGGACAAGGGGTAATGGGTGGAAATTGGAGCATAGGAGGTTCAAGGTGAATATCTGAAAAAAATTTTTTCCTGTGAGAGTGACAGAGCACTGGAACAGGCTGCCCAGGGAAGTTGTGGAGTCTCCTTCACTGGAGACATTCAAAACCCACCTGGATGAGTTCCTGTGTGATGTACTCTGGGTGACCCTGCTCTGGCAGGGGGGTTGGACTGGGTGATCTTTCGAGGTCACTTCCAGCCCCTAAGATTCTATGATTCTACATAAAAAGGGGTTGGGTTTTGGCATTGTTTCCCTCTTCCCCCCCCCGCCCCATTTTGGAAACAAATTCACAACCAGAGACGATGAAAGATAAAAACTAACACATATTTATTAAATGGTCTTACAAACAATCAATATAATAATTCCATGTTTTACAAAATAGTAATCAGGCTAGGTAAAGTGCTGCAAAAATGTTTTTAAATAAAAGACATTTTGTAATCTTCCAGTTTCTGGTTACCGGTGTGGGTGGGGGGTGGTTACAGCCTGTGGTGCTGCTCGGGCGCTGAGAACGGACGGGGAGACACAGGGAGCTTGTCCAGGCTGCTTCAACAGTCTGGGAAAAGTGCAAAGCAAGCAAAACAAGTAAAACCGAGTATTTCTTCAGATCCTATGACTTTGGGTGAAGATCATCTCCCCTCCTCTGCATAGAGTATATATTTTTTTCCCACAGACAAACTGACGAGCGGTGTGTAGGTGCGTGGTGCAGACGCATGGGAAGCCCAGTGTGCTGGAGGTTGGTGCTTTCACACTGGGTTTGACACACTGAAGGACACCGACCCCATGGCGGCCGCTCCCTCGGTCACTCGGAGGTAATGGCACAGGGGAACATTTTCTGAGTGCAAAGGCCTGCACGGCCTGACTGTCAGCTCTTCCAGCAGGGATGCATGGAGAAGCCACTGCAGGGCGAGGGAGGGTGAGGACTTTCACCACGCGACTGCAAAAAGACCTGGCACCCTCAATTTACTACCAGGCCAGAGCACACCAGATCACACAGGCAGAACTGATCGCACAGCAAGATCAGCCCTGTGTCACTCCCAGAGCACTTGCTCACCTGTCCACACTCTGACCTTGCCCTCTAAGCTGCCTGTATTGACTTCTGACTGGAACCTGCACGCAAGCAGGCTTTCCACAGAACAAAGTCATGTTTTAAAGCTACGTGCTACCTCATGCTTGCTTGGTCTTTCTTCCTCTCCATGTCTTCAGTTTTGGAAGATGGGAAGGTGACAACCAGTACTAAGGTTGGAAGGATGCTGTGGACCATTCTGACAGAAATTTTTAATTAACTGCTATTTTGTGGCTGCTGCTAGAATACAGCAAAATAAAGGTTTCTTGAGGGATTTCCAACTGAAGGCAGTGTGGAAGGGATCTCACAAAGGAGATCTTTCTTTGCGTTCTGCTGTCAAACTGCTGGCAGTGGAATGTACTGTGTCTGAGAGAAGTGTTTCTTATGTGCGGTTGTTTGGGAGGGAAGAGGTAATTGCAAAACTAAGCATCTTTACCCTACCTGAGGAGGAATATTAAATGGTACGGCATTACCTCCTTCCCATTACACAGTATTAAGGGCCTTGAATGTAATTGACTACCATGAGAACAGAAAAATATAATTCTAAAGACACTCAGATAAGCAATTATGCCCCTAAACTTTAATGGTTTGCTTGTTCCAAGTTTTGCTTTGTTTTTCTTTCTGGAAAAAGAAAAAAAAAATAAATTGAGACTTGTATTGCAGAAAAATCAAGCTACTTTTCTATCTTGAAACCAGAAAATGGATCATTTACAAAAAGTCCAAGAAACTCCTCCAACTGCTTTTACTTCTTGATCTAATCTGTTATTCAAGAAGAGTGCCCCTGCATTACATACTTTAATAACCACAAGTATTCTTCATAAAACAACAATAAAGTGCATGCTCTTATAATACCACCATTGATAGCCAGCTAGTCCATCCCATCAACCTGCTTGAGAAAAGCCTGTGAATGACTGACTGCTCCCTTCCTCCCTCCTGCCTCTCCCCTCCTGGCACCAGTGCTTCTGTTCAAGGAAGCACAGAGTTGTCTGGGTGTCCTATGAAGTTTCATCAACAACTCAGAAGCTGTACTCTTCTAACTGTGCCGATTGTCCTGAACATGCAGCAAGGAAACAAGGCTTTCAACTCCTCTGACAAATTTAAATGGCCTATAAAGTGACTGATTTCCCAGCAAAAGCTTCTTTTATTTTTTCAATGGGAAGGACAGGCTTAGGGAAGTGAAAAAAGAAACTTAACATGTGGCCATGTTTTTGTAATAATTTCCATAAATTTGTTGTTTAATGCTAAGATGTTATAGTTTCAAAAGCTGCATCTCGTGGGATTTATATGCAGCATTCACTTACTTTGTAATGGATTTGATAATGAAGGCACGGGCTCACTTTTTTACTGGTAATGGACAGCAAACACGGTCAATATGCATTACTGACACAAGAGCACAAGCAACAATAAAGTCAGTGTCAAAAATTCTCAGCATCTTTCCTTTCGCTACACTCCTTTTGTCCATCGGCCTTTTTTTTTCACCTCAGAAAGAAAAACAAAATCAAATGGAGTTAACTTTAAACACAGGTTTACCTACACATATATGTTAGTGGAAGATTTTCATAATCTGTTGCTGTACTTTTGGAGGGTCCCAGATGACAGTATTCACCTCTTCAAATGCCAGCAAATGGAAAATCACTTCAATAGTAGCAGCTGACATGGTCCCTCAACTTTGCTAACATTTTATATCATATTAAAAAAACTAGCTTTACTTCTTCCTATTTCTTTGATTGCTGTTGCTTGGTATTGCAATTCAGTTTTGTCACAGGTGAACAAAAAAGCTCTAGAAAAAGTTAAATAAGTTACCTGCTTAAGATCCCATGCCACTCTCTGAGCATGTGGGGAGTTTAAGCTGGCAAATAATTTAAATGAGTTATTTTTTGTTTGCTTTAAATTAATTTAAATGCCAAGAAGACTCTGAGTGTCTTCTGTAGCAAATGACCTCACTGAATACTTGTAATCTTAAAAAGATTCAGCTTGCAATGCAGCTTTTGTTGCAACTGATGGAAGCTGTCCTGGGAAAAATTCATAAACAAATCTCACAGAATCTTGAATTGAGAAAGCTGAACCTAAAAAAACTTCTATTATTATTTTTTTTAACTCTAACCTCTATTCCAAACAATAACTACCCTCACCTGCTCCCAAGGTTGTTCGGTTTACATGATATTAACTCTTAAATGTAAAAATGTGTTGGCTGACTTTATATGGGCAATACTGCCAAGGACCAGACTCTATCAAGTAACACAGCAGGTGGTCAGTCAAATAGCATGCCACTTTACAACTCTACAAGCCTAAAATAGCAAAAAACTTGGAAATGCATCACCATATCCAAAAATAATTCAAACGTTTTAAGTATGAAATCAAGATCTTTGACAGTGCTGCACACATATTTAAACTAGAGTTGTGCTGGTTAATGTGTTTCATATGTAGTAGATGCATTACACATAATGCTAACTGCAGGGATTATTGAAGGAGGTGAGATTTAGTAAATCTCATTCCAACCCTTTGATAACTCACCCTCACTGTGTGAATCATTAATTGTATTCCATAGTTGGCAACCAAGAGTAAACAAACTGCCAATGTCAAAAATTTGGCTCAGGACTCCAAAATACATGGTTGGCAAAAAGATAAAAAAAACCTCTCCCCCAACTCTTTTGAACAACTGACCTCTCCAACACTCATCTGCAACCAAACAGTGGATAGATAATTCATTTCCATGCTATTACACTGAGGTATAACTACCAAAAACATTAAGCTATCAGTATCAGCTGATATTTTTCCAGTTAATTCACTCTGCATAAGGGAAATTATTACAACACATCTAGAGGGATAGTTAAAGCTTACAGCTTAGAATTTCCTTTTTGTTTTTTTGCATTTGATTTCTTTTTGTATGTGTTTGATGTTTAATTTCTTCTATGTTATTAGCTGCAATTTCTAGGTTAATGACTTCCAAGCAGATTTGAAAGGAAGCCTGATTTTTTCTTTTCTTGAGATTCTGCTTCTTGGCCTTGTGAAAGTCCCAATTCCTTCTCAATCTGCTCAAGCTCAGACTGGTCAAGAAGTTCAAAATCATCAGCTTCCTCTGTGTCTGTCTCCTCGCTCAAACTGGGTGCGGCGTGCGAGGGAGCCTGCTGTGCGGCCTGCAGCTGGTCTTTGATGGCAGCAGACACTGCAGCAGCAATGACATCCCCAGCAATGCCACTCATTAAATTAAAGGTTTGGTCACTGGTCAACGGCAAGGACAGCCCTGCAGTGGACGGTCTCTCTTTACTCTGTCTGGAAGCATGATCCACCTTGAAAGAAGTTTGTTCTTTTCTCCGTTTGTGCTGGACGGGGATGCCGATGCTTGAGTCGTCATCATCGTTTGTCCCGGCGCCGTTTTCTAAAGAGGGAAATTCTGAAAGGTCTCTGGCAAAAGCTTCTTCATGATCACTAGGTCGGTCAAAATCTATTACAGGGTTAACAGAAGGCAACAGTGTTAGTAAACATGGAAGGCTTCCCCAAAAAAGCAGCCAAATGTAAAAATGTTATTAGCAATTGTTCCTTTGAATACATTTACTAATCCAGACTCTGGCAGCCTTTGGTAGTTGCAGTGCAGAGGAGCTGTGTGTGACATCTAAAATAACACAGGTTTGAAGTCGTAAATCTAGTACAACAAATCACCTGGAATCAGCCTATCTCAGAAAGTTATCTGAGTAAAATATCTTTTTGAAATGATATATAGCTGTTTATGAAACAACCCATGCAAATCCTTAGCATGGCCAGTTCTAAATACATCAACCACATAAACTCCTAAAATGTACAATGCGACAGCAACTCTTTTTTCACCATATATATAAATGATAAATACATAAGCATGTACAAATGTATTAACAGCTTTGAATACATTTGTTTAAATAGGTTTAGAACTTTCTCCTTTCTTGGCCAATGCTTGTATTAAATAGGAAACAGAAAAAGGATACTCTACAGATGACCAGGATTGCTTCATTTTTTTCAAGAGGATAAAAAGCAGAATGTAAACAAATCTTAGATCTTTATGGCTGCATTAATGGCCCAATATTTGTTATCAGAAATGTGTGAAACATACTGGACAACACATGGCCTCTGGAAGAGGCTTAAATGAGCATAAGGTAATACTTTGATTTAGTATTTGAATTAGAAGGTAAAAAAAACCCAGTTTGAACTTACTTTCTATGAAAAAAAAAGTAATAGAGGCATTGAAAAGGTCTAACAAAATTAATCCTAAAAATGCCTCATATGTCATTTTCTCCATTTTCTTTAGGAAGAACAGGCTGGGAAGGTGAGAAAGAAGGGCTGTGCTGTGGTGGCTGAAATGCACAGAGCTTTGACAGGAGATGAGCCAGTCCTTGGATGAATCCCATCTGGTCTTGCACTTGTGTGTATATACCATTTGCTGAAATGCTCCATAGGGGAGAAGAGTGGATGTTGTTTACTTTTCACTTAGCAAGGCCTTTAGTACTGTTTCCCACGTTATCCTTACAGCCATACTGGTGGGCAAACTGGTTAGGTGAACTGTAAGGTGGGTGGAAAATTGGCTGGATGCCAGGCTCAAACTGTTGTGATCAGTGATACAAGATCCAACTGGAGGGCAGTTATTAGTGGTGTCTCTCAAAGGTGCTGAAGCCAACACTGTTCAATGTTTTTATTCATTACTTAGATGACAGAATAGAGTGCACTCTCAGCAAGTTCACAGGCAGAAAGGAACGGCGCTGCGGGAGGTATATTTGATATTTTGGGGAGCAGGGCCCTCAGAGGGACCTCAACAGGCTGGAGAAATGAACAGGCTGAAAAGGAACATCATGAAATTCAGCAAAAGAAAATGCAAAGTCCTACATCTGGAGTGGAACAACCCGTGCAGCAGTACAAGCTGGGGGCAAGGAGACAGAAAGCGGCTTTCAAGAAAAAGACCTGTGGACAGCAACTCAGGGGTATGCCCTTGCAGCAAGGAAGGCCAACGACACACTCAGCTATACTACCAAAACCAAAGTCAGAAATTCAATGGAAGGCATTCCCCCCCCTCTATTCAGCATCTGAGAGGGCACATTTTGGAGCACTTTGTCCAGTTTTGACCGCTCCAGTAGAAGAAAGACAACAAAAGACTGGAGTCAGTCCTCTGGAGGGCCAGCGTAATTATTAGGGGGCTGGAGAACAAGCCACATGAGGACATGGTAAGAGAATGGGCTTTTTTTGGCCTTCAGAAGAGCAAAAAGAGGATCACATAGTTGTCTTCAAATACCTAAGGGCAAGGTTTAGAGGAGATGGGGCCTGGCTCTTCTTAGAGGGGCAAAGTGTAAGGGTGAGAGTAAATCAACACAACCTCAAATACAGGCAATTCTTACTGACTGTAAGAAAAAACTTTTCATCATGAGGGTGATCAAATAGTGAAATACACTGTTCAGGGAGGTTGCTGAATCCCTGCCACTGGATATGCTCTAAATTCAGCTGGTCACAGCCCTGACCAACTGGATTGAGTTGAATCTGTTCTGAAGAGGAGGTTAGATGAGATGAATGACAAAGGCTCATTCCAGCTTACAACTGTGATTGGACAATTCTTTCTATTTACAACTTGAAATATTAACAAAATAATTCAAATTATTAATCTGGCCTTTACGGTAAGTGGTATCACTCCACATCTCATTTTCAGTGAACATTTTCCTAGAAGAGAAGAAAGCTCTGCCAGACAAGCAGAGAAAGAAATCCACTGACAAGATCACACCAAACTGCTCTTGTCCTTAATCTCTTCAGGCAAAGTACTAACTGAAAGCTTCATCTATAAAAAATAAGAAGATCCAAGATCTGTTCAAGACCAAGACAAGTGCTTGACAATCTTTTCCTAGTCTTAAGTCTTCACATCTCATTTAGGTTCCTTGCTGGCTATCTTCATCAGCATTCTAGTAATGAAACCTAATAAGGCTTTATTTAATTGGCTCTTCAGCAATGAAAAGTATTCACTTTTTCTTCCTCATCTTTTCCTTATATAGTTTGCTCACAGAAACACTGAGAGAAACTTAAAAGATTTACTAGCTTTTAAAAGTTTAGCAGAAGAGAGAGCTAAGTCCAGCATATATTGAATGTGTCAGTTTTACCCACCACTACTTATTTATTTAAATGCTTACAGATGTACTTAGTTGCTTTTAAGATGAGGACATCTCTATCACAAGATGTGTCCAAAATTATATAAACATTGGAATTAATGCTAAATTCCTTGTAGGGGGAAAACCAACCAAACCAACATCATGTCCTAGAATTCTCTAATTGTTTTCAGGTAACTTACATGACTGCAATTCACCAATGACATAGATGAAGCCATTACATACCATCAGATGTGTCTGTCTGTGGAGAATACCCCTCGGATAAATTAAAGGTCCCGTTATCGGTCCAAGAGACTTCCGAGACATCGGTGTCAGACACTGACAGCTCTTTGGCAACAACTGCAGGACTAACCTAAACATAAAAAAGTCCCACACATGGTATTCTTATGCTCAAAAAATCACACTACAGGAAGCCAATGCTTAGATACTGAAAAAGAAGCCTCTTGCATGTCATACCAATATAAACTCTCTCCTGTTTAAGCTTTAATCGTAGAAACATGAAAATAATAGTATACAATACTTAGAACTGAAGCACCCCTCTTTGTAATAACTAAAGCTGTGTTACACTAAAGAAGCATAGAAAATTACAATTATTCATTCTCAAAGTAATATCCTACTGAAATGAAAGCAGAATGAGCTGCAAATACAAAATACATATGCATGTAAAGAAATACATAAACTAGGATCAACCCCTCCATTATAAGGCAGTCAAAAAAGTAGCTAAATAAAACAATCATTATCCAACAATATTCAGTGATGTCAGCTACCAGTTTTTATCCCATGGAACATAAGTTTATTTTTTTTTCAGAATACAAAAACACCTTCAAAACTATCACTGTCACAATCCGACTGAGCAAATACTGCACAAGAACTCCTAGGAAGCTGATTTTTTTAATTATCAACTGGTGTTCTGATTATAATGGAAAATCCTTTGCCATACAGTTATTTATAATATTGAGAGAAAGGAGATATTAAGAGTGTTCTCATACATATCTAGAAAGATATTTATAGATAATATACTGATTTACACTATCATTAAAAATTATCAGACAAGTGATCACGTAAGTATCTGACAAATGACACAGGTTTTCCATGAATATTTCCCTCTAACTGCAGTTTCACTGTTGCAAATAAAAATAGTTGCCTTTGCTATTAAATTCTAGTTTAATCATTTCACAGCCAATATAAAATAAACACATTCCTAGTTTAGTAGGCCAAATAAACCACTACCTTGAAGGTCAGAAGTCGCAAGTGCAGTAAGTTAATTAGTATAAGCCTAAAGATGAAGACTATGAATCACTTTTAAAGCATACTGCTTAGCTCAGGAACACAGCCTCCTGGGCAAGTTAAAGTTTTCTACAGAAAAGAGAGACAGTAGTCTAGATACTCTCCATTATCTATATAGATTTTAAAAGCAAGATAGGGCTGACTGAAAAAAAGTCACCTTAGGACATAGGGCTGATATGTCTAATTCACTGTCATCCTCTGTGGGTTTTGTTTTTGCTGTTTCTGAAAGAAAAAAAGATATTTTTTATCCTGCTCACGACAACAGACTTTGAGGTTCAGTGTGCGTTCCAGGTCACAGAGCTTGTGTAGTACCATAAACTTTCACCTGTTGACAAAGTGCATAATTTATGTAATATGCAGCTAAAGTGAGGGGAAAAAGGCTGATTGAGAGGCTGGGCATTTATCAAAATATACTGTGCAGCAGCCAAAGCAGGGGAGAGGTTGTTGCTCTGAAATTCATTCCAACACATTCATTTACTTGGCTTCAGAAGTCTCTGTTGCTCACCATAACATAATGCTCCCTGGCAATACATATCTATATTTTAAACTACAATGCTGGTACAATGCACAGTTGTAACATACTGTTAAAACAGGCAGTGTACTTATCCCAGCACATTATTTTACATGGGGACAATTTTCTGGATAATTGTGTGTAATCGTCATTCACAAAACCTTACATACATTATCTCTCCTTATAAAGCTAAGAATGGTTCGAAGCAAGAAATACCTTTACACTTGAATTCACATGAAAAACAAACTGTCTACATGGTTAATAAAATCTTATTTGCATACAGATACATTGGGATTATACTTCATTACTCACCAGATCTCTCCTTTTTCTTCTGGTTGATATATTCCACTATTCCAAAATCTAGTTTTATCAGAAAAGTCTTAATTTTGTTGCATACTTTCTGTCCAAATTCATTGCACTTAAGGAAGGGACATAAAAAGGCACACAATACTGTGATAAAAATTAAGACAGAGAGAGAAATTGTATTGAAATATTACTTCATAAGAAGTTAAAAAATTTTAAACAATGCACTTGAGTAAGACAACTACTATTTTTACATAAGACAATTAGTTTTACATAAAAAAGCACCGTGAAATGCCCACATCAGAGAAACTGTTAATGTCAAATACAGTTTCCAGGAGCCATTCCTTCTCATCCCAGAAGAGACCATTGTATTCATGTCAACTGACACTTTTTTACTTCAAATAAGACACAATTTTTGATCACTGTAACATTTACCACTATCTTGATTTGGTCTGATTTTGATATCTCTATCTGAGAAACACAACTATGCAACTTTGTGCCAGAATAAACAAACTAAAAAAACCAACTTTTAAGCTGAATCTCATGTGACCAAAAGCACTTGTCAGAACCTACATCTACATGTACATCTGTGTATATATGCCTGTGAGTTTGTGTATATAAATATATATACACATACATACTTAAAAATAATAACAAAATATTGCTCCCTATACAGAGACCAAATAATGAACAAACCACATACGTAAATCAGGACTGAAAAAGCAACTATACTTACACAGGACATAAGAGAGGACAACTCCAGGAATGTAACTCCCCAAGACAGTGAAAAATGTACATACACTGCAGACTAGTAGGCAAAACTGGCAAAAACATCAAAATTGGCCATTAAGACTTAGATCATTTTGCAAAAGAAAGATGTTGCATACTAAATGAAATCTAGTAGGCAGTGGAAAAGTCAAGATTTTTTTTTTTTTAATTAGAAAACACTTTAACACTTCTTGTGCAAATAAGCATCAAACAGTTCATATTGGCTAATTACAATGTACCCCTCTTCTGTTATAAAAATATGCTATTTTATTCATTTATTGGAAAGGTTTAACAAGCTCATGGTCTTTGCTAAAATTACTAGAAGCTACTTGACCTTCATTACACACACACACACAAAAAGGCTAAACAGTTGATATGCAGGATAAAACACCCCAAACTACCAACCAAAATACTGCAATGCATACTTGCTGCATGCTTACAAAGGCAAGATAATCCTTCCAATGAGTACAGTTCTCTGCCCTGTTGTCTTGCTTAGTGGAACTGTTCCCTCTCATAGGCTGGCAAGCATTCTCTTCATGCTTATCGGCTACCCTAGCCCTCCTCTAACAACTGACTGGGCTAAATTTTCAATATAAAGCTTGAGATTCAGCCTTTGCTGGGACTGAAACAGAATGCATCTTTCACAACTGCACAGTGCTGAGTACAGAATCGATCTGTTGGAAGTTTACAGAAAGAATCCATTTGGAGTTGAATTGCAATAAAATGGCTGATTCAAACAAATTCTGCACTCAGCCTAAGTGCCAAATTTGCTTGTAATTGTAACAGTAAAATAATGATGTGGTTCAGAGAATGAGGTCAGGAAAAACAAAGGAAAACATGCTGTCAAAATCAGCTTTTCTAAATCAGCATTGTATCTATCTTAACATACAGTTACTATGTCATGTTACTACATGGCAAAATTATGGAACTGTATATGCTGATACATTTACTTATCTCAATATATACATATTATTTTTAATATAACTTTATTATCCTAAACACACAATTTCTGTTCACATAATTTATACATCTTTGGAATTTGTTTCATTCTGTTGCTCATATATATTTTCAGCCTAAACTCCTAAAATTTGAGTGTCATATGTACTACCAATGTGCCAATTCTGAAGGGCGTGTTTCCATGAAATATTTTGTGGTAAAGTTAACTGAGACCAAAAGAGGGAGAAAAACCTCCTAATCTCCTTTTATATTTTTAAAATTAGCATTACAAGTATAAAAAATGAAATCCACTATTGCCATTACATACTTCTACATATTTTACATTTTTCTTTGGAAAAGAAAGCTGCTTCACTTTTGTCTAGAACTACGTAATCATCTTCTTCCTAGTAGGAAAGAAGAAACCTTACTCTTGCTTGCCGCTTGCCTCTTCCATGAATTGGGTTCTTTCCAGTTAAAAAACACCCAAACATCTACATCTGTATAAAAGAAACATTACCACAATCAAATAGGAAGGATTCTCTTCTATCATATAATACTTGAGCAGCTATTTCTGTAAACTAAACTTACATGGAAAAAAATGTGTATGTTCAGGAACCGTGCACTCTTCCTGCTTTTTCAAGTTTAATTAAATGGTGATGTTTTACATTTCCTTTCCATTGAATGACTGGTGAGGTTCCAGCAGCTGCAAGGGGAGGGACCATCATGCTGTAAACATTACTGTGACCAGCTTTGCTTACTGACAACCTGGCTGTATTCTGCACAGGAACAACTTTGGAGAAACTCAAGACTGAATGTATCATAATGTGTGTTTTATTTTTCAGGTGTTTGATTTTTTAAAAATCTGTATCACCAAAGTGTTACTCTTAATTGGGGGTGCTTACCTTGCCAGGGTTTTGTTCCTTGAAGTGGGACATTTCTTGAAGAAATACAAATAAATTCATCAGTGTTTCTGAAATGCACTGATTTATTCTGGGTCTGGAGTCTTGCCTGGAATCAATGACTTTCCAGCTGAGGAATAAAAACAGAAATACCCAACATGTTTTGTCATCGCTCATTTGAAAGCTTGATCAACTTCCAAGCCAATCATGTTGTAATGCTATTGTCTCCAGTGATCACATAGCTGCTGCTATGCTACAGACATCTGTGCTTGTTCCCCTATATTTTATATTGGGCTAATTCCATTATTTTAATCAAATAAATCCTCTTCAGTAGTGGCAATTCTTAGTCTGTAGAAGCAGTTACAGAATAAATTACTACTTATTAATTCTGGCCATATGAAAAACTTGAGTTCAGGGCATAGATGTAATCTAAATTAAGCAACTGAACCCCAAACTCCTTTCTTCCTATAGTTTTTTTTCTGAAAAAAAATACTACAGTACATTTTTTTGCCACAGGATGGCCACAGATACTAATATATTTAATTTCATGCACGTATTCCTTGTGCTTTTTCTTTATTATTTTTCATTTTGTTCTGTAAACTATGGTGATTTTTTAGAGATGGTTATCCAACTTAAGAGAAAAAAAAAAAAAAGAAATTGCTCTTAAAGTCTTGATGTTCACACTTATTTTCTTAATGAATTTTTATTTTTCACTCATGTTGAAAGGACTGTTTCCAAACCTTAGTTTATTACTTTTCAGTCCTTTTAATAAAATAAAAAGGAATTTTACTGAAGAATTTGCTGAAAAACATGGAGTAGACAAAGTATCTACAACAATGATGTTTTATTAAACAACAGAAGAAAGGAAAACCACAGGCAGGCCAGTCAATGTCAAACCCAATTGGTAAAAGGTATGGATGTATAACCATGCAGATATTCAGAATCTGAAGTAAATTCTGCACCAGTTTAACCAAGTTATCTTTTACATAATTCACTGCTCACTACACACACTTTTGATCAGAATGAATGCAAGTAGGCCATAAACAGTCCCATAGTCATTTTACTCTGACACATAATCCATTGAATGTCCAATGCATCACTGAAAGAAGCCTGTAAGAAGGCTGGGGAAGACCTGTTCAGAAGGGCATGTAATGATAGGACAAGGGGAAATGGTTTCAAGCTAGAGAAGGGTAGATTTATGTTGGACATTAGGAAAAAGTTCTTTAATGTGAAGGTAGTGGAATGGGTCGCCTGGAGAGGTGGTACAGGCCCCATCCCTGGAGACATTCAAGGTCAGGCTTGATGGGACTCTAAGCAATCTGTTCTACTGTGAGAAGTTCCTGCCTTTTATGTACTGTATTTTATTATCTATGATTTAATGTTCATTTTTACAAATAAGACATAGTTATGTTTTAAGATATGAATATGCTAATGTGTCTCATTTCCTGATATAAGGAAAGCCACAAAGATGTTACAGTTTTTGAACATGTTTGCATTTTTGTAAGCCACTGGCAATATTGGTGAACACGTACAATGGCCACAGGTGTTGAGACACCTGGTTCAGGTGTTACTTTGGAGTTTTGTTCCCATCAGGGACAGACATAATGGTGCATACTTAAAATTCAAGTGCTGCTTTTAAATTTGCTTAACACCTAATATTTTTCAAAACAGAGGTGGATCCCTATACAGCAAATCTTCCCCTATCAAACTAGACTTCTGCAGTCTATAAAGCAAAACTGTACAGCGATGTTTTTACATGGGACTGAGTTCACAACCCACTTGCACAAAGAATAGCACTGCAGATCTTTCTAGCAGGAGAAAATGGTTTACTTAAGAGAGCCCAAGGAGATAATGGTTGAAGGAAAGTAGAGAGCCTTCATTTTTGTAAAAAAGTCAGGAATAACTTCAGACAAAAATGTCTATTTACACACACTGAGAAACTTCACCTTTTTCCATGCCTGTATTTAACTACCGTACAGCAACTCCGCCACGAGGTGGTGACACAGCAACATCAGAATTAGAGCAAGGTTTGGGAGCCATTTCATACAGAACATAAATAGCATGCATGGGGGATTCATGTTCAAAATATCATATGCACAGCAGAGCGCAGGACATGAGTTAAAGAAAAACTAGTATTTCAACCATGGTGTAAAACTGATTAAAGTTCAAAACCCAACCTGTTGCCTATTTCCTGAGTTTATTACATTATTTATTGCAGTATTTATAGCATTGCCATAGAGTGATTTCCTCTTACAATACAAAATATTCAGGGCAAGGATTTATTTCCCCTCCCTCAAGAAAAAGAACAATTTAAAATAGTGCACCTGAAATTCATAGGATGAAAATCTCATGTCTTGGACTAGGTGGCTTTTGTAAGACAGAGAAAATAAAACACATTTTGCAGCAATGCATGGCACTGCATGCAGGTATTTGCCTCGGACAGAGAATATAAATAAACCATTATATATCTCTTGAAGAACACTGCAGAAACCCATCAGGAGGAAGCAGCAATATCACACAGAACTTTTTTCCCACCTCCTATCCACACGACAATTTCAATTTCCATACTCTCTGATACTTATTGTCTTGAAAGAAGCAGTATACAAGGGTTTTGTCTTAGAAGAGCTACAATTTTTATGGATAAGTTACTCTCCTTAAAGAAACATTGCTTCCAGCTTTTGTAAACCACTCTGCAACATTAAGAAACGTATCTTAAGAGTTGCCTGTTTATTCTAGTGTTTAATACTGCTTTTATGACAGTGTTCTAAATTACAAAATCCTTTTCTAGACTTTACTGCTATCCTTAATTTAGGAGTGCTGACAAAGTGGAACTTCGTAGAAACACAAAGAAAGGAAAGGGATACGCCTGATGCCTACTATCAAAACAGAACAATTGTAGATAGCTGGCTTACTAACTTCAAGTTAATCGCAAAAGTGGGTTGAGTGGGAAGATGAAATAATAACCTACAAACTGTTTTCTTATATGCTAATATAAAGATCATATAAAGAGGAGGAGATACAATATGGCACACTGTGATAACTACTACCAAAACAAATATGCAGATTATGCAGAAAACCAGCACATTTGCAGAGAAAATTCTCTGGAGTTGCTTTTCTTGGTTGTTAATAATGCTTTGCTTTGCCAAGTTTAAAAGATGTTGAAAATATGAGCTGCACTGCAGATACAATGCACTGCTAGATGCTTTGGTCCCATGGTGTGCATGTGGTGCATTGACAAAGAAGGCACCAAGCTAGAAGAGTGGATGGTACAGGTCAAGTTTGCTTTGAAACATTACAAATCCACTCTTAAGCTTGCTCTGCAACAGAATACTTGGCAGTTTCTTACAGGCCACATGAAATCATGAGACACCTTTCTCAGTTCTCCTACAGGCACACTTCTCTATTTTCCAGGGAACACCAGGGACTATTGAGGTCTTATTCTGATCTTGGGCAACTAGAGATGTAAAAAAGTCAGCCTGCTGATCTTCAGTGTGACAATGAGATGTACATGCTGCCTCTGCTTCTTCACACACCTCCCAACAGCTGCCAGCTCTAGTAACATCTGTCCTTCCTGTCCCTCTTCCACAGAGGGTGCTCCAGTGGCCACATTACCCAGCAGCCAGAGGGCTGGAACCAGGGGCCAGAAACAGAGACAGTGGTAAAGAGGGGTAGGAGCTGGGGAGAAAGAAAGGAGGTGCAACGTGTAGTTGTATGTATGCAAAGATAGAGAGGTTATGTCATGGATGTGTAGAAAGAGAGAGAAACTTGCATTAGATAAAAAGCTGACAGGCCCATAATGATGCATAATCTGGAAAAATTAGTTTTCAGTGATCACATTTAGACACAAAAATGAAAAAAGGAAGATACAGGAAGTGATGCAGATGATGAACACAGAGTGCATCACATCAGTCAACCAAGAACATACAAAAACTACTTCAGCATAGTATTAATGGAATTACTAACAGCACCTTAATAAATTACTTAAATGTGACCCCCATGCTTCCTGTCAAAACAGCTTTTGGGACTCCTGTCAAGGTGCTTCTTTGGTGATATAAGCAGCTAACTCTCTTGAACACCTTCAAAGGTTTTTGTGCATAATTTAGAAAGACTAAAGTTTTACACTCCCATCACTTCTGAGTTTGGTATAAAGCACTACACTTCTAAAACTACTGTCAATATGACAGAAGGTGTTTAGAGATAAAATTAATTACTCATATCCTTCTGACTACCTACTGCATCATTCCTAAAACTGAGCAAATACATGAACTGTTACCTACTAGCTGCAAAAAAAACCCTCACAAAACCCCCTCCTGCCCCAGATGCTTCAACACATCACAGTCACTAACTCTATCCAGAAGAGTCAGTGGCATTACATTCTCTAAAAATGACTGATGGTGTCATGCTCAGACATCTGTTCAAGCAAAGGCCCGTCACATTTATCTCAGAAAGGTCAGTAGCTCTCATGTTACTCTTTTAAATATCTCTTCATGATGTGCTGGATTTTTTTTTAATTATGTGTACACAGTTTTATATGTATCTTCACATAGATATGCTACGCAGAACTGCAGCAGTGACAAAGTACACCATGGTGTGGTGGATCTGAAGGATTGTACCTACATAAACAAAGAGTTAGTAATTACAGAGCTTCTACACCTTCTTGATTTCCCAACTGGAACAACACACACTTGAAACCTGTGCAGACTCTGTAATTTTAAGGGTAACTTAGAATGTGTCAGTCAAGGTTGAAGAGTTGAAAGTTATATTCTTAAAGATATGTAAATAAAAATATAGATAATGTGGCTATTTTGTAGTCTTTTTAAAAAGTAGCATCCAAAGCTTATAAAATGATGTAGCTCTAAGGGATGTGGATATCTAAGGACAAATCTCGTAGGCAACCAGGAATTAGGTGTGAAATTTGACCAAATGAAATAAAGTGTAAACTATTAGGAAAACCCAATCAAGCAAGTTTACCTTTCAGAGCTTTTGTGGGTCTGTCCTGTGGGGGAAAGGAATCATCACAGTGCAGATGGCAGTGATTATAAAGATGCAGTTACCCTTCTTTGAAACAAACACTTTATACCTGAAGATCTCTGCCAAAACCATATTTAAAAATCTGTCTTCTAAATTATT